GGCTGTGGCTACAATGTAGCTGCCATCACCACTGCCATCACCAGTGTGTGAATGGGTGGATGACAGGTTGTGTAAAGCGCTTTAGGGTCCTTAGGGACTAGTAAAGCACTATACAAATACAGGCTTTACATTTACCATTAATTACTGTGGGCTTTCACTGTCTAAGAACTTTCCTCGGTACAGTTCCTGAATGCTGAGCTCTCTATGTATTCTGAAGCTGGTCACCCTCTAATGTATTTACCACCCTGTCATATATCAGTAAATTCTCATTTACGTTCTCATTGGCTGTCTCAGAGATTTGGAGAGTTTAACTTGGGACCCGGCTGTATTCACCGGGTATTGTATTGTATTGTTGATTTAAGACAAAAACCATTTACTTTATTCAGTCACTGGTTCCCACATTGCTTCCTGTGCAGATGCCACTTCAAGAATTTCTACAGTAAGCAAAAGATTTTCCCAAATAATTTTTTCTAAGAACATATTTGGGAAAAAAAGTAAAAAAAAAAAAAAAAGACAAAAAAAGCTAAGCTTAGAAATATATTTCCTCTCGTTGAGTTTCCATTTCTGTGTTTCTCCGTGCAGTCCGACTCTGCCATCAGGTTGTTGTTTTTAGGACTAAAATGCCTTTTTTAACACTGTTGCTGGCCTTGTTTAAAAATAACATTATAGAATTTATATTTGTACTAAATATGAATTCTTTACTTTGTCTAACTAAATGGTGAAGGAAAAATGCTCGTGTCGAAAGATTGCAATATTTTTATGTTTTCTTACAGCGAATCTCCGTCCAGCGCACGTCAGATGAATTTAAGACGGTGGAAACTCATTTCTGCAAAACCATGAAAGGCTTTGATATTGTCAAAATTGAGAGGATTCAGAACAAAGCTCTTTGGGAAGTCTTTCAATGGTACGTATTGTCTTCTGCGGTCCACAGACTTCAGTAAACTCTGACTTCTTTTATCCATTTTTGCCCCCTGCTGGTGATTTGAAAGAATACAGATTTAAGCGTCCTGCACTGGTGTCACTCCTCAGAGCCAGAGGCTGTGTTAATGCTTGTGTACACAGTCCAGGGTCAGCGTGCACACTTTCACGACATACAGACAAACCAGACTGACGTAAGATATTCGTATGTCTTCTATTTCAAGGCAAAAGAATCAGATGAAGACCAAAAACAAAGGAGGAAATGTGACTGAGAAAAAGCTTTTTCATGGCACTCACTCCAAATTTGTTGACACCATCTGCCACAACAACTTCGACTGGAGAATCTGTGGACTTAATGGAACGGCTTTTGGCAAAGGTGATTGAAGAAATGTTCAAGCTGAAACAGTTATTGATAAAAAACCATGTTTTCATAAACCAAACTCAACAAACACATTTTTGTCATCTGTGGTTGTGAGGAACGATGCTTATGTTTTTTCCCAGTAATCACAGTCGTCTCTTTTGATGTCTAAACACAGGTAGTTACTTTGCCCGTGATGCCAGATACTCCCACAACTACACCGGAGACACTGACGTCAGAGACATGTTCGTCTCACGGGTGCTGGTGGGAGACTTCACCAAAGGGTCCTCTGACTATCGCCGACCTCCTTCGAAGGACGGAGGGGACATAAACTTCTATGACAGCTGTGTTGACGATGTAATGGACCCCTCCATATATGTGGTGTTTGAGAAGCACCAGATCTACCCCGAGTACCTGATAAAGTACAAGACCACAGTGATGTACAGTGGTGGTGCATCAGCACCAGCACCAAAGCCAGTGGCAGCACCAAAGCCAGCTACCGTATCGGCTTACCAACCTAGCACGATCTCCTCTGGATATAAAGCCAGTGCTTCTTTTTACTCACCTAACACAACCTCTTCGCCCCACCAATCCAGCTCTGCGTCTTCTGCGTACGCATCTAGCTTTGTGTCTTCTGGGTACCTATCTAGCTCGGCGTCTTTTGGGTACGCATCTAGCTCGGCGTCTTCTGGATACCCATCTAGCTCGGCGTCTTCTGGATACCCATCTAGCTCGGCGTCTTCTGGGTACCCATCTAGCTCGGCGTCTTCTGGGTACCCATACAGTACCTCGTACTCAAACAGCAGAACAGTTAACCAGCCCACACACGTCCCTCCATCTCCCTCACCACCCCCAAAGAAAACATCCGATTCTTGTGTCATTGCTTAACATCAGTGGTGTAAAGGGGGGTTGGTGGTGTTTTGCAATAATAATAATAGCATAAAAACAGACAGCAATGGCGGATCTTGAGCACTAAAAGTGTTTATTGGAGCAACTGAGAAGAAAACAAATGAAGCCACAGATATTAATGAATCCAGAAGATTAGAATATGTGATTTATTAGCTGCTGTTTACCAGTTTAGCATTGACTCACTTCTCAGTCAGCTGCTATTAAAGCATTTTAGGCTTCACGTGACTTTGAATGATGAGACTTTGGTTTGCTGAATAGGTGAGCAAGAGGCAGTGCAGAAGAAAGCTTCAGAAATGTTACATGTTCCCGTTACACTTCATAATTTCTTTTTGTTGTTGTTTTGATGCTTGAATTTTTCCGCCTCAAACGTAAAATGATTTTCTACAAATTGCCAGCATTTCCACACACTTTGTTTTTATGTGCAGATTGAAGATGCACGTAAACACGTGGCATGTTGGCGCAATCACGATTGTTGAGGTGTTGTTTAAAGAAACTACACCTACTTTTTTTACAGAAAATAAAAAATAAACGGCATCAGCGTGCGAGCCGTATCAGAAGAAACACCTGAGTGCTTTCCTCGTGATTATCTCAGGAAGTTTTATACGAACGCATCGTACTGTATCAAGTAATGATGAAAAACACTGTGTCAGATTAGGCCATTGGTGTCACGAATTCTCGTAACAACTTAGTCTAGACGCATGACGGACTGCGCGTTGGTGCCTGATGATAGCTTTGCTGCTTTAGACGACCTTTGTGATGTCAGCAGGAAGTTGGGCCCAACTTCTGGGAACACGGAAACAACCAGCGGCGGCGTGTGATACTCCCTGCTCCGTGTTTGGAAAAACCTGAAAGAAAAGTTTAATGATGTTTACAACTTTTCAACTACAAGTGACAAACTCAGGAGTACAAAGCTACCTTGAGTCAATTTAAATGTTGCTCTAGTGACTGGATGCCAGTATATCTCAGTGCTCACAGAGCAGGTGATCCATGTAACACGAGGCTGTTGCAGAGGGCCGGGCTCAAATCTGACCCCACACCATTTGCACGCCTTCTCCCTCCTTTACTGTCCTATCATAAACAAACGCCCCCCATAAATGTTGTTCACTTACTGGACGTCTTTCAGTGAACATTAAAAAAATATAACTGGTTGAGAATCAACCCCAGCCATCGCAACCTCACTGTTTCCGAGTGATGGCCGGTGTTTGGGGCGATATCCAAGCGTGGTCTGCTCGTTCCATTTGTCTATAAGGTCTTTTTTCAAAAAATAAATCTTCCCGTGAGAAGATTAACGATTGTTTGGATATTGCATTTTGGCGATATCTCTGTAGGGTCAAAGCCTGCTTAACCGTGATTGGTTAATGCTCCTTGGGATTTCTCTTTAATCTTTCAAGTGATTTGAAAATAATTTGATTAAAATGAAAAAAAAAATGTGACTTAATCTTTTACCAACCACTAGAAAGTAAAAAAAACAGGCTATATTGATTATTTTATTGATAAAATGTAAATGAAAGGCTTGTAATGTGTGTGGTGGGTGATTTGTTTAGGGTGTGATTATTGATCATTTCACCTGCTCAACATGAATAATCACTGTTTTCACAATTATTATTAAAGTAAAGCATGTTGCAGTTTGTTGCTGTCGGAGCTGCAGTTCGTTCTGTCTTTTTTTTCTGCGTGTCTCATAGCTGACATAAAAAATGCCACCAGCAGTCATTTTGGGGCTCTTAGTGAAATGAGGCAGGGCATGAAAAATGATCAATATGGCTGCCGGTGCTTCATCCGACACAAAACATTAGGCCTGTAAAGTAACCCCGCTGTAGCACCCCCTCCTATCAGCGTACATGCACTAGCAACTGCCTTCTGTTATGTTTCCTATAAACTGCAGAGTGAATATGGGCGTGTTTGGATGTTTCCACTGTAGCAACGAATGGTGGAAACAGACTTTTTGCACAAAGCTGTTAAATCCAGGTCTTCTGTGATCTTAATGAGAGAAAAAGAAAAAAGTAATCGGCCTC